TTACATACTTTCAGCAACTTAAATTAAGATAAAACTACTTTTAATATTCTTATCAATATCTTTTCATATGCTTATCAATTCTTATGCCTACATATAGCCTCTTTATATGGTTAGGTATTTCCAATGCAAGCGGTTGGCACATTAAAGCATCGATTTTGGGTTTCCACTCCTCTTGATTATCAGGTAAATCTTCCTTCGATACACATATTTCTTTTTTAAAAAGACATGTTCATCTCCAATTGTAAGAATTTAGTAACATATCTTGAATTTTGTGTGTTTTGGTTTTTTTTTCTATTTATTTTGTATGAAGAGATAGGATTTAAAATAGTATTTTCGTCGTAAGTTTTCATATAGAAATATGTTAGATGTTTCCACCGAATTGGACAACATTCATATGCTATAGGATGCATGTTAGATGTTTATTAATTTGCCTTTGTTTTATTTGTCCAACGTACTGGGCTTGTAGCTGGTGCTGTGGATCCTTCCTCAGCGCATACTCCAAGAGTTGAATTTGTTATTTTCTCCAACCTTTTTTCCCAACCACATGTAAGTCTGTTAGTTATTTTAGTTGAACTATCTATTCTATATTTTTTACTGCTGTTAAACATTCATATTATAAGTATTTGGTCTATATCTCTTGAGTGATCATGAACTGAGAGGGGCAAATTTATTTTCGTTCCTTTTGCGAAGACAAAATGTCTACTAAATTTTCATCTTGAATTGTAAGTGATCATGGATTTTGTTGTCTAGAATTGTAAATATACTTAAGAAAGGTTATAATAGAATATACATTAAGTTTGTATTTCATATTGACATTTTTATAAATTTGACTAAATAGTTTATCATTTTTCGAAGATTCACGTTCAACAAACGGGTACAAAACTAGTTAAAAAAATGAAAACCAAGAGAGTATTTGGAGATTGTACAGGGAACATTATAGGGAAAAATATGATGGAGTGAATTAATCAGGGAGTCAATTCCAAAGTATATGCAGAATTTCACTTCAATTCATAAATTTCAAAATAAGACACTTAAGTCTCTAAACTACGAAATCCATTGCACTTAAATAAAATTAGTGATGAAATCCAAAAAAATTGACTGTATATTAAGGGTGTGGGCTGGACGCTCCATTAGTATGATTATGTAATTATTATAGATAAAAAAGATAGGGACATAAAGATTATTTTGCCTTTTTTCCCTTCTTCATCATCTTTCCTTTTTTTCTTTTTCCTAATCTTCTTCTCCCCTTGTCCACCACCACTGACGTCTCCAATCCATCATTTATTATACTCCCCACCACTGACTTTTCCACTACTACTGCCACCATTATCAAGATTTCTCCGGAAGACAAACTTTGATTTTTCACAGGAGGAAACAAAGGAATAAATAGGAACAAAAGGGAAACAAGAAGAAAAAAAGGAAATTTTGTTCAATTTCAAATCTTGCTTCATCATAATAATTTCATCAGTTGGCAATTATCTGATTACCTCATCTCTCTGGCACTATTTTGGAGGTATTCAGATGCATCAAAGTCATGAGCAGCTTGTATTTTTAATTCTGAGGTTGTTGGTACCTCTAGGACCACAGCTGAAAATTTTGGCTGCCACAACATTTTTCTTTTCTTTTTCATGTTTTGGTTAAAATAATCCATTCCATGCTACTAGCTTATCTAGAGGAGAACCTAATTAGTAATGGTCGATAATTTTGTGGATTATTCGTACTTTGCTCCCCTCCAGATTTGTTTGACATCTCTTTATTGCCTAAAAATATAGTTAATTTGAGACCAAGCTTATGCTAAACTGCAAAGCTGCAAGTTAACTCACAACTTTATAGGTAGATGCCAAAAGTATAGCAATCTTATTAAACGAGTATATTAAATGTCTGATTATGCAGTCATTTGATCAAGAAAAGTTTAAATTCAAAACTTTTTAATAGACGTAAGAATTATTAGTATAAACTATTAGAAATGCACTTTCTTTTATAAACTACTCTTTGGAATTAATTAGTGCTTTCCCCTCGAAAACTTTTAGTTTTAACCAAAAGTATAAAAATAAACCCAAAAAAAAAAAAAAAAACACGACTAGTGCGTCACAACATGCGACGTCATCTATCATGCATCAGCCGGCAAAGCTGGAAAAATAGTGGGGTCAGTTGACTCCTGTCTTCTGCACGTGTACTTTTCACACCCTGCTCTGGACGTCAAGTGCTAGGGTATGATTCTGCCACGAAGTCAACGCGATGTAGACGTCGAAGTCAATTATTAAAAAAAAAAACGTGGAACAAAAATTACCAATCTGATTATAGGAGATAAGGCACGAGAGAACAAAAGTTTGTAAAACCAATATTAAATGCTTGATTATACTAAACATTGTTGTAATTCTTAATTAATGTAATACAAGGTAAAATAAATTTATTTATTAACTCTTTTGATACATATCGTTGAGATTTTCATGTTGTATCTAAAAGTTGGAATTGAATCGCTCCAATTCTAGTAAGAAAATTTGTTTAATCTTATGCTTAAAATTTTGAAATTTTTTGGCAAATTAGCACAGGCATAATTCCGTCCATCTTTGGACAACAAATTGTATTTCACAAGGTCATCAACGTCACAATAGCAGACACTAGTTTTCATTTTCTTTAAATTAATATATAGAAAGTGACAATTAATAAATTCTTGGAAATTTTTATCTAGCGATCATAGCCACCCTACTTGACCACATCATATAATTCCTATTTTGAAAATAGACCCATTTTATGAAGGTTCAACAAGCTAATTTGTTTCCGGGGCAACATGAAATTAGACATGAGTTCAATTTTACATGCTTCATCTTCAACTTAGACCTTCAAATGCAATTTTTTTTAAAAAAAAAAATTTCAATTAAGGCAGGGATGGGATTAAAGAAATTGGGATGGGGGAGAAAATTTCAAATCAGGAGTGCTCTCTGTTTGGATGGGACTGTTTTTTGAAAACTAATTTTTCAAATACAATAAAAATTTTTAAAAAGTACTCTAAAAGGTAATCTAAAATTTAGTTTAAAGTTTTAAAAAATATTTTAGAAACTCTTTTACTCTTAAATATCCCAAAATATTTTCTAAAAATATCCCAAAATATAATCTAAAAACTCTGCTACATCAAAATTTTTCAAAAATACCCCAAAAAACAATCCTTCAGATATAAACAATTTTGTGCGTTTGATCACAGAACTCGTTTTTGCTTAGTTTTACACCCAAAAAAATGCATGCCTATCTCACGTGCATATAATTGCAAGGGCAAAATAGAAATAAAGTTAGTTTCTCTTCAGAAAACACACGCTCACACAAAATGACCATCATATTTCCCCATTTTCAACCATTAAAACTCTATTTCTAATTCTTAAGCAACCAAACCCCAATTCCTAGTAACAAAATTTCAGCAAGTGCACCTTCACAAAAGGTGAAGAAAAGGGTGTACAGATCATATTGAAAAAGGATAAAAATGATCGAAGAAGTATTGGTGAATCATTGTATAGACAAAGAAGGAAAGTAAAACTTGAGTTATATGTTAGTTGTCTGAGGACGTTAAAAAAAAAAAAAAAAAAATAGTTGAGTTTAATTGGATATATTTTCCCTGTCCACAAATCAAACAACTCTGAAGACTAAGCAAAACGTAGGCAATTACAAAGGGGGAATAATATCAAGACTTTATCTCCGGTTATGATTTATTTGTTTCCCAATCCTTCAGTGCAATTGAAACTTCTAGCAGTCGAGGATGAACATCAGCCAGAAAAAAAAATGCAAAGTGCAGATCGCTACAGCAAGATCGATTGGGGCCCCACTTCCCTCTTTCGTGGCCAAAATGTTGCAATACAGACATAATCACATGGGAAGATGGGAACGTTAGATAAGGAAATACGCTTTGGTAACTCACAACAGAAAAAGTTTATCCTGGTCTCAATTAATTACTCATAATCTTACTTTTGTTTGGCAATCAGAGCCGAACCTACTCAAATTTTTATTCAAAAAAAAAAAAAACCGTATTTTCATTATATATATTGTCAAATTAGGGTTCTAATATTGAAAATTTTTAATATCTTATCTCCTTATGCTTATTTGGTACTTTCACTCGCCAAATTTTACACACTTCTGCGAGTATGTAACATCCCAACCGGTTAAGTAATGTTGAGGGAATTTTATATTTTTTTTTGTAAATTTAGAATCTTAATCACATAATAATCTTTCAAAATATAGAAGTAAATAATATATGGAGTTCCATTAAGTTCTGCAAATAGGCTAACCAAGCATCAGCAAAGTATCAGGGCACCCTTGGGATACTCATTATTAGGGAATATGATAGGTATGATTAGTTTTAAGCGCAATTGATATGGTTGTTATACTCTTTTAAGTCTCTTTTCATGATTTAATATGCATTCACGTAATTTTGTCATATTTCATAATTTGATATACATCCACATAATTTTTGTTATACATCATGAAATTTATTAAAGTTACGTAATTCTGTACCAAATTATGAAAAAAAAAAATACAGTAACTGTGCCAATCGCACCTAAAGCTAACCTTATCTACCCCAAACCCCTTGTTATTATACTTAAATTATACTTAAATTATACTTAACTTGTTATGTATATATACCAATTCACTTTTATTGCACCCCGGCCCCTACTTTATTAAACTTCTCCACGTTAGTTTCACTCTTATCGAATGATAAGAGCTAACGCCTAAACTCCCTCTTGACCGCCCCGGGCACTGTTGACCAAACCCTTTGCTTAATGCGTCTACTTTTAAGAATACCCTTTGCTTAACGCCTAAGGATTCAGGAATGTGGCTGCTGAGCGGACAATAAGCACTCGCGTAAAATCAAAGTAAATAAGTTGCAAGCTAATTAAGACAGTGACAAGCAATGGTTTTCTCTTATAACAGAATTCTCCGGCTCAAATCAATCAAGATGCATAGCTGCAGTTCGAAATTGTTGAGATTGTATTCGTCTTTATTCTCATAACAAGGGCAGGAAACAAGTGTTAATTACAAGCACAAATACATGTAAATGATCTCGTCAAATTCAGCTGGAGCTGTGATTTGAAATTTTTGAAAAATAATCTTACACGAACTAATCACTGTACTCCACTTCTGAATCTTGATGCATGTAGATTTTCGCAGAACCATATCACTATGATGAATGATCATGCGTAAAATTGAGGAAAGACTTAATTTATGAAGTGCGCAAACATAAACCAACATAGGACTCATTCACTGCTTTATGCTCACCTTTTCCTTACTTTAGTCTTGGACCAACAAATCAGGGTTTGTAATCTTGTCATCTCATATAACCACCAAAGTCCAACTTAGATATGATTCATCATGTCAAAATCGAATGCCACCATTTTGCCTACATGTCAAAAGCTTTGAGGTTGCAATTATACCTTACTCTGTCCTCCAAATACTGGTTGCACTGCATAGAGGTAAAGGTGTAAATATAATCTGAGATTCCCTTATGGAAACTGGAGCATCACTGTTTAATTTCTTACGGAAAGTTCTCCCTGAAGGTGCAGGACTTTAATTTTGCTGCAGAAAAGAAAACTGTCCTGCTGGCAATGGTCCAAGAAAGCCAGAATCCAAGAGATCAGGTTCAACTTCAAAATCCCACAAATCTAGTGTTGATTCCTCTTCGCCATGTGAATAGCCATAGATCAGTTCTTTTAACCTCTTCCTCTTGGCAATTTCTGTAGTTTCAGTGCTGGATGTTGATATTCCACCCTAAACAAATATGAATCAAATTATTGAGGAAATTAGTATATTTTCAATGCCATTACTTGATTTGCTCAACCATTTGAGATCAGCTGAAGGAGGATATACAGTATAAGATGATGCCTAACTTTCCTTTGTTCTATCACTATATACTTACCTTCTCATGAACTACTTGAAGCATCGAGTTTCCATTGTTGGAAAAGTTAGCATTGACAACCTCAAAACCTTCTTCGTGAAGCAGGCGAATTTTGCCATAAAATGAAGCTGGTTCTTTCAGTCCACTTATCAAAATCATATCCGTATCAGGTCCCATATCATGCACTTCAACATTCATCAACTCTGAGCTCTTGATAGATGAATATCGTCTTCTTCCGCACAGCAACTTCTCCTTCATCTGCTTGTAATTCTCCAGCTTTCTCTCCATGCTCTTGATGTAATTTATCGCCTCGCCTATCTTGTCAGGCACTGGCAAAACTTCCTGCGTACATCATTAACCACATGTTAGTCCTTCCTATGCAAAATTTCAATTTTTCTTACTCATAAAACTATGCACAAAATACCATCTGAATTGAGTACATCTTGAGGGGTAAAAAGACCTTGGAGCTGTCACTTGGAAGAAGAGAGTAAAGCTGAGAATAGAGATTCTTGAAGCGATGTCTTCTGTCTTTCTCCTTAATTCTTTTTTCTGGTTTCGAATTTGAAGTTGAAGGATGAAATTTCTCCATGTTCTTGGATCCAAAGTTTGGTTAGCAGCACAAAGAAAGCCTATATTGATTCTGAAAGTTGAAAATGCTGAGGATGGTCTTGCGATTTGGTGCTGTTTCTATACTTACCTTTTCTCCTTTTTTCGCTTGGTTTGATTTTTATACTCACTTGTTTCTTTTAAGTGTACTAAAAGTCAGAGTCACTGGTCCACAGGATTTATAGCGTCGAAAAGACAAGGGACTTGACGAAGCCAAGAGGAAAGATGCGTGGCGTTATGACTCATGATGACAATATGTATCATTTATACGTGACGTGGGAGATTTTGAATTCATAATTTCTTATCAACTTTGTCATCTAATCTAATTCTTCTCAAAATCATAAACACTATGACCATCATTAATTAGTTAATAGTAAAAAATTTTTGTTCAAGCTCATTGAGGATTCAGCAAATAAAATAGAATGGTTTTATATTTTTTTTCCTTCTATTCTTATTCCACTCTCTCTGTTTCTTCTAGTATTTCTTTAAATTTTTTAAAATTTATTTTTTAATTAAAAATATGAGATGCACGAGCAGGTTAACATTTATCCTTTACTAAAAGGTAGTTAATCACAAAAATCATGAAAGGGGCTTGTCATATCTATTAACTTATTCTAAAATGAGGTGATCATATCCATTAACTAACTCACTCTGAAATCACTTTATCATATTCATATCTATTAACTCATTCTAGTTAACCTTAACTAAACTATAAATGTCATTAGGGGAGAGATGGGTTGGGTGGTACGGGGGGAGAGAGTGTAAGCAAGAGATCTCGAGTTGAGTCCCCCTGCTTACACTTAAAAAAAACTATAAACATCACTATCATTAATTTTGAAACTCATTGTCAAGTATGAAATTCACTTACCAAACCTCCCCTATTTCAGAGTTTTGATTCATGAGATTAATTGCAAAACAAACTGTAATGAATGCTACGATTTTTTTTGTCCTTTTACACGTTATTACCTTAGTTTCTAACTAGTTGTGATGGGTTAGTGTGGATATGGTATCGTGCAATTCACATTTGACAATTCTAGAATTCCGAATTCTCGTTATCATTCAATAGCTGGCAAGTTGGAAAAAATGTTGAGTTCACTTGGAGCAATGTTGAGTATTTCTGTCCCGTGAGTTAATCGGCACCTTCGATGAAGCGAGATCGTAGGACCCTAACGCCCGAATCAATCAGCATCGGTTTTTCTCTCTAAGAAGAAAAGAAACAAGAACATCAACTTCTTTCTCTCTAAGAAATAGTGGTCAAAATCTGTACTACTCATGTTAAACATGTTAATTTTCACGTATCCTTAAAAGTGTTATACTTCTTTCGAAAAAAAAACAAATAAATAAGAAAAATGTTAGTATACTTTATTATTCTACATATCAAGCAAAAAATTAAATCTTTTCATTGTCAAGTTCAGTATTCGAATCCCACGCATGATAGTGGAGCGTGAAAAAGGCGTAAGGAAGGATAAAAGAAAAAAAAGAAAAAAAAAGGTCAATGCACATAAATAGTTTATACTTTTGCCATCTATGTCTATCATGTTAACATTAACTTATTATTTTAGGGAACAAGTCATTTTAGCACGTTGCACATAGCATAAATCTAGTTCCCTCTTCCAATTGTTGAAATTTATAGAGGCGTAAACTTCATTTGGATTTAGGCCACAATCACAGTTTCATATTTGTTAATGCGGACATGATTAATTGAAAAGATTTGAACATCATATTAAAGGAACTTAAGTTAACCACAACACTATTACCATTTGGTAGGAACCGATTCAATGGATTAAACGAAAAATTATAAAAACAAGTTTCAAGCCATTTGGTTAAGTTAAACGAAAAATTATAAAAACAAGTTTCAAGCCATTTGGTTAAGTCATAAAATAATTTTAATACAGCGATACTAAATTCCAAGAACAAGTTGGAATTTGAAGCTTAAATGTTAAGAAAAACAAACCCGCAAGGTGCTGGAGCTTATGTTCGGATTGTCATTATCATAGTGCTATACCACTATGTTTTTTACATTTAGAAGATGGATTTTTTTTTTGTTTTTTTCGCCACAAATTAAGGACACTAATTTCTATTTAATTAAATGAGATGTCGCCACAGAAATATCCCCCTGGATAGTGCCAACGCGTACAACAAAGTGTTGAAAATGGATAATCTATATAATAGATATTAATTAAGTAATAATGAATGAAAATTGATTTGTTACATTAAAGGGTTCATCATCATTTCATGATAGCAGAATATGTGTAAAGAATTAAAGATAAAATTTATTATAACTATGGTCCCAATAAAAAGAATTAGTAGCTGCCATAGTTACCTGCCATACAAGTTTTCCATAGTTACCTGCCAGAAAATAGACCCTGCCCTGAAACATCAGCCAAGCTTCGTACGGGAAAATGATAGAAGCTACGGGCTGCAATTAACCAAATGAGACAAGTCCAATGGAAAATGATAAGACGATTCAAGTTGCTCTAGGCTTTTGGAAGAAAACAGGTTTGTTCATTGACATTTTGACGATTTTATGTTCCGACTGGCGTAGATGAAATTCGTGGAAAAATTACAAAAAGTTCTTGGGAGGTTCGTATTCTCGTTTGTACCGTGTTGATGGACAACTAGTGCAACGACCCCATCACCTTAATTTTCCTTTTTTGTTGTTTTCTTTGTTGTAGTATTATTTCACTCCATGACTTTTATGCACCTTGTTCGGCCTTCTACTCATCTTTCGCTTCTCCATGACTTAAGCGCCAGGATAAATTGGGACAAATCAGTAGCAAAGAAATCAGGACAGTTTTAACTTTTGAAGAAGTTACAAATCTACAATCGACTCATTTTATTATTTTAAGAGGGCAGAAGATGGCTCCAGATTTTCTTTTCTTTTCTTTTCTTTTTAGGTAATGTTGGTTCTAGGTTATTAATTAGTAGACACACTCTAATTGTTCAATATTCTTAAAGATGTTAATTAAATAATTCAACTACTTAAAGAGTTTGAGGATGTGAACACATTCATGGCATGAAGACCTCTCCCATTTTTCCTACCTAGAAATTCAATGCACTGACCAGGTAATTAGAAGGTCCTAGTAAATGGACTCTTAAACACTTTTTTCTTTCCTTTCTTCTTGTAACACCAAGAGTTAAAAATAATACTCTTTAATTGTAAATCCTGATCTATTTCTATATTTCTATCTCTTCTATGCTTAGAATTCATCTTTGTTTCGTGTTGTTACCACTAGCACTAAGGCAAGAATTCATCTTTTTTTTTTTTTCCAAATATGGCGAGACTAGATGACTTCGGCGTTTTTCTTTCTTTTTCCTTTCCACTTTATCCTTCTTTTTCTTTTCTGTCTGTCTATTTTTGGTCCTCTTCCAATGGAATGATCCATGACTAGCATGGCGGAGATGGATCATGGGTATACTAATCAGTTCCTTGGGATTAAGGAATAATTGATCAACTAGACATGCTTAATTTGTTAATGCAGTAAAACTTATCGACTGCTTATTATGACATTAACACTTTTTTTTCGGGCCATCTCATTATGGATTTGCATCAACAACTTTGTCATTACCACTTCCAAGTGCCTTTTTAAGACGTTTGGGGCGTAGCCATAAGGTGTTTGTGGACACATTTCCGGAATCATCCAGGGATTCATGGCCAAAACAACAATTGGTTGAAAGATCTCATAATGCAGATGCTCTATTTTCCAGTGTTAATGCTTCAAAATGAGCCAATTACTCTCTTTCATCACACACCAAAAAACTCAGGTAGACAAAGACTTGATCCTACTCCTACTCTGGAGAGGCCCAACAAAATTTAGAGAAAATCGATGGAGATTGAATTGCCGTCGAATCAGATGGAAATTACCATCAAACCAGATGAGTGTAGGGACTGAATCACCATCGAATCAGATAGGTACGCTATACATCCGTATGGATTTAGAATAAATCACTATAAACCCTTAACCTCCCACCCCACCAAGACTTAAAGTTTTTTGTGGTGATCAACAACTCCAAAGGCTTTGGTTAGTCATGATCCGTAATCGAAATTTTATTAGTTGTTCATTTCTTGTTATCACTATATTGCGATACCAAAAATACACTTTTGTCTTCCTGGGATCTGGATGAAAGAGATTAAATTGGTCATACTTGGTAGACTTTGATGTTGCTCCTAAAAGATGTGACCTTATTGACTAGAACAAGAGCTTTTCATATTTGGCTTGGAAACCATTTTCATCCAAACTCAACTCTAATTCACTTCTCCATCCAAATAAACTTAAAACGGAAAAGATTACAATATGGCATTAATGGCTAACCGAAATCTTTATTACAATTAGAGTTTTTCAGACATTATTATTATTTCTTTTTGCATTTTTTCGCAAATTTTTGAGTTAGAATAACTATTTCTTTTAAATTCGTTCTAGTTGAACTTCAAAAAATTAATAATTAGACTAAAAATTTCTCGCAGCACGACTGAGTTTAGGTTATGCCAATCTTCCACTGTCACATTTTACATTAATAAAAAAGAAATAGTAAAGTTGAACAACTTTTTATTGAACCCCTTATCGCAAATATCACTATCTAAGCAGTCCTCGTGAAATAATAAATTTGATCAACTTTTTATTGAACCCTTATCGCAAATATCACAATCTAATCAGTCCTTGCGAAAACCATATCATCTAAAGAGAACATGGACCAAATTAATGGTAAGTTATCATCTATGTTAACACATCCATCGTTGGGCCCAAAAACCTCGTAAAAGTGTTGCCTTAGGGAATTTTTCTTCCTATGAACAGGACAGGACGTAAGTTGACTGTTTTCCAGTGGGAACAACGACTTGTAAGACATATACATACTAAATCACTGTACAAATTTCGGCCGCACAAAGAACAGCTCCCTAAATTTGTTCAAAATGTTTGATAGATTTCAAAGTTGTTCGTGCACTATTTCAAAAATAAAATAGTTGATAATCTAAGACTAACCATGTACTGGTATTCTAACCCGTGCTAATGCAAGAGGTTTTTTTTTCTTTAAATTAGTTGTTGAACTTGAAC